ACGTCACATTCCCACACCCCATTCCCATGCCAACGCCCCGTTCCGACGCCCTCTCCCAGGAGGGCGGGGCCAAATCCAATCCAACCAATCACAGCGCAGTAGGGCTGGGCCCTTTCCCTCTCTCCCATCCCATTGACCAATCGGAGCTCATCGAGGTCCCGCCCTCTAGTGACGTACGTGACACGTGCCTCGTACGTAATACCAGGAGTTAACAACACCTGGTGTTACGCACGTGCCTCCTGGTATTACGCATGTGCCTCCTGGTATTACGCAGATGCCTCCTGGTATTACGCACGTGCCTCCTGGTATTGCGCACGTGCACGGGATGTTAACCACGTGATTTTCCCTGGGTTCGAGTTGTGTCCGACAGAGGGCGTTCACGTGATGTCATCAGGGTTGGTGTTGCATCCGACAGAGGGCGCCGCGCTGCGGTCACATGACGGTAACGTGGGATGTCATCAGCACGGCTCCCATCACGTGATTCTAACCACGTGATCTCACACAGGGTTCGAGTTGCGTCCGACAGAGGGCGCTCACGTGATGTCACACGGGGTTCGTGTTTCATCCGATAGAGGGCGCTGCGCCGCGGTCACATGATGGTCACGTTACATTATTCGAATCGCTGCGCGGTAAATGCCCCTTTCATTCCATAAAAAAGGCTCCGCGACCGACTGGGACTCGACCGCTCTACCTTCAGCTCAGAAGTCCAACACTCTACCCCCTGAGCTACGAGCACACTTTTTTTTTTTTTCTTTATTGCAGAGGCAAAACATAAACAGTCAAAACGTTAAAAAAGAGCACATTAAAAACCTCTCATCTTAAGAAGAGGTTCACAAATGCCTAGCCAATCGGGTTTCGGCTCACGGTTTGAAAAACACACTTTCTACTCGCCTAATGAGGCTGAAAAAGTAATACCTTACTTCTGTAGCATTGGGGTCGGCGAGGCGGACCGCCATGCGCGACCTCCATATGCTACACAACCCAAGCAACATAATCAAATCAAAAGGAACACCATTGTCATTAGTTCCGTTCAAGAAGCGGATGCCGGATGGGCTAATGCACAACTGCTTCTTCAGAGTGCGTTGGAGGACGTCCCAAAAAAAAAACTGCATCCCAGCAAAAAATAAAAACGTGTTCAATGGTTTCTGGTTGTTTACATACAAGGCAGTCAACCGACCATGGCACATAGATTCCTTTTTCCCTGAGCCATGCCTTAACGGGTAGAGTGTTGGTGTGCAGTTTAAAAAAGGAAGATTTAACTGAAGGAGGGACACACATTCCCTTGACCCGCTTTAACACATCGTGGCCACCGGGACAAATGACAGCTCTATAAAGTGGTGTCGGGAACAGGCTCATCACCAAGTCGCGTGCTAGCGTTTTCTTGCTCACAACAGACAGGTAGTCTAAAGAAAAACGGGCAGATAAAAAATAAACTGTGTCAACAACCTCTTTCTGGTATCCAACAAGCCCATTTTGCTCCCCAACATGCGACGAGACAATGAATGACGGCAGGTGAGGGGACAAATTGGTCTGGATGAACGTGCGTATGAATGGGTGCTCTTGATCTCGTAGGAAAATAAACCGAGAAACGAGTTGCTTAACGAACAAGTGAGATAGTCCGAGACCCCCGTTACATACCCTATGGAAGAGGTTGTCCCGTCTCATACGCTCCCAGCTCGTTCCCCAAATGAATACGGCAAAAATGCGGTGAAATTTCTGCACATTGATGCGCGCACAATGTATGACTTGCAAAACATACCAAAGCTTTGAGATTAGAAAAACATTACAAACCGTCGCTTTGGCAAAGATGGACAGATCACGCTGCCTCCAGCGGGAGGCGCGCCTGCCCAAGTCGGTGGCGACTTCCGACCAATAGTTTTTGTTCACTCTGTAACATTGTAGGGGCACTCCGAGGTATGTGCAGGGCACGCAATCCCAACACACCCCTTCAAAAACTGAAGACGTTGTGGCCCACGCACCGTGCCAAAACCCGCGGCATTTACTCCAGCTTATTGCTGCACCCGTCGCCTCGCAGAAAGATTTTGCCAATAAAACAGCGGCGCTAACACTTCGCTTGTCGCAGCAAAATACTGCAATGTCGTCCGCATAGCTCATGCCTTTGATCTCAGCATTTTCCAGCTGGAATCCCTGACATTGCTTACTATTAATAACACTTAAACAAAACAACTCTAAGTACACATTAAACAGTAAAGGTGACATAGGACATCCCTGTCGCACGGACGTTCTCACGTGGATCGGCTCTGTCAGTTCCTTATTGACAATAAGCCTCGTGGTGCAGCCTTTATATGCCATTTTTGCCCCTTCCAAAATAACTTCGCCCGCATTTATGCGGTGTAAAACATCAAAAAGAACATCATCGTGCTGAGCTACGAGCACACTGCTACCTAGAGGGCTTAACTCTTCGTAGTTGTCCGTGTGTGCAATTCAGATCACGTGATTTCCCGCGCGCTACTCGAATTTTGTAATGCGGTTAAAACAACAGGATGCGTCGTTACCGCAGGTCATGTGTCCATGGTCGTGTGACGTTGATCGTTTTGGTTCGTCACCACGGCTCCTATCATGTGATGTTAACCACGTGATTTTCCCCGGGTTCGAGTTGTGTCCGACAGAGGGCGCTCACGTGATGTCATCAGGGTTGGTGTTGCATCCGACAGAGGGCGCTGCGCTGCGGTCACATGACGGTCACGTGGGATGTCATCAGCACGGATCCCATCACATGATTCTAACCACGTGATCTCACACAGGGTTCGAGTTGCGTCCGACAGAGGGCGCTCACGTGATGTTACACAGGGTTCGTGTTTCATCCGATAGAGGGCACGTTAAGTGAAGATCCCATCTCATATTCTCGATTTCGCGCGTGCACAGTTTAAATCCGGGCTTTAGGCGTATGAGTTGACATCTCGGTTCATAGATGGCGCACGTCTTTTTTGCTAAACGTCTTTGTTGTTAGGGCATGAGCGACATCTTGCAGCGTGGGTCTGACCTTGCGCCATCTGTTGCTAAAAAGTTAAATTGTGCGTGCTCCTAAGGTGTGTCCATCCGTATCTTCGCGCGTGCGCAATGCGTCTGACTTGCCGAATCCGTTTGTAGATGGCGCGCACCTGAATCCCTTGGCTGGCGTGAACTTTTACCATTATCACGCGATATCTCTCGATAATGTTAGCGGCAGCTTTGTAGATGTCGACAACTCTCGCGCTCACGTCATCTCTCGCTAATTTTAGCTGTCTGCTGTACCGAGCAACGTGAGAAATGAACCGGAGCATGGTCGCATCCATACGGACCAAAGACGAGACAGATATGGTGTTTCACTTTTTTTATTTCCATTCGCTCTAAAAAAAGAAAAAAAAAAAAAAAAACACACGCACACATATAAATACAAATGTGGCTTTTAAATTTACTCTACGCGACAAAGAAACCACTGGAAACACTTTGCACAAAAATATGCAACACAAGCAATAACGCGAAAAAAAAAAAAAGTTGTCGAATAGCAATGCAAAAAATATTTACAAGGTCAGGACGTGGATGAGGAGGCTGATCGCTCGCTTCCTAAAACGCTCTTATGGCCAAAAGGAAGCGTCGTAATCCTATCGCTGCAAATGTATCGCTTGTTGTCGAACGGATTCAGAGCAATCTTTTCGACCGCGATGCTTTTGTTCTCGTTAAGTTTTCGAGCAATCAAATGCTGCATCACTCTGTGCAAAGTTTCCGTCTCTAGAGCATGCTTGTACAGTTCGTAGGTCAACTTGCGAGACTCGGATTTCTTTACTCCCTTGGCTCTTACGCAACACGTGCTGCTGCTTGTTTTGAAGCTGTATAGCTTTGGTTTCAAGCAACAAAAAGCCACCAAGTGAGTAGTCGGATATTCGTTTTTTAACACGCCGAGCTTCATTTTGTTTTCGGTTGAAAAGAGTTTGTGACTCTCTGGATATCCAGATGTATCCAAGCATGCGTCTCGGAGTTGCAGGAGTTTGTCGTCTACGTCTGATCCCTGAAGGTGTAGGAAGAAGGAATCCGTGTCGCAGTAAAAAGCCCTCGCTGAGGGGATCGCACGACGAAGTTGATTATAAAAGAAGTCGTACATTACTATTTTTGATATCTCAAGAATCGAGAACCCCGCGTAGAGTGGTTGCTTGAGTTTGATCACTTTCGGAGCGAACTGGAAAATTACGACCTGCGAGCTAAGTGCTCGAAACTGTGTCAGGTTCGGTTTCTGAAGCATTTTTCAGTATGTCGTCCTCTTTAACACATAGTTTAATGTGTCCATGTTTACGTGCATTCTCGATCGTCTTGCCATATATGCTGTTCATGAACAGTTTGGAAAGATTCTTCTGGAAGGAGTTGGTTGCTTGCTGTCTCAGCTGGTGGTTAAAATCAATAAACGCCTTCAAGAACGCTCGCTGTGAGAATTTTAGGACTCGGTGAATTTTGGTGACTTCTAGTCCTAACTGGATGTACAGTTTCGAAATCCGGTAGTGCAAAACGTATTTTGTTTTGTCGTGAAGTGTGAGCAACAGCTTCGTAGTGGATTCCTCTTTGGGCATTTCAAACTTGTCAATCAGACTTTTTTGATAGTCGGATAACCAATCGTAGGGAACGCTTTGCTTCACCGGGGACAAGGGAAAGTCAGAATGAGTATCATGTAAGTCAGGAGGATACCTGAGGTCTACCTCCAGAATGTAGCCCGTCGGAGCGTCATCTGGAACGTCATCAATTTTCAGGCAGGCAATCTCGTCTTTCGTCATCCACTCAAAGTCCGACACTGGCAGGGCTTCTCTCATTGTCGCCGCATACAGACCGTTGACGTCCAAGTCCAAAATCTGAGACGGTTCGTGCTGCGGGTTAAACGTATCCGTTCCCGGAACATTTGCGACAGCATGGCGGGTCGTGCATTGGGTAATCCCTCCGCGAATACCCTGTTCTATCATGAGATAGGTGTCAGGATCGTCAATTAGCTGCAGTCTTACTTTCGACTGTTTCAGCGCACACGACAGGATCCCGTCCATTTTGGATTGACCGCGGAGAGGGCGGCGCCGACGGCTCGAGGTGAGATGACAGGTCTGCAGAATAATCACGTTAGTACACAGGCGGACCTGCGAGGCCTTTTTCTCACATTACCTCAGTCTTCCGCGGAGAGACAGCAGTGAAGCAGAGACAAGCGCGGATGAACCCTCGACATTTATATTAAGCGGATTGCGAAATGACGACTCGCCGTGAATCAACACGTGCGTCATTATATATGAAAAGAAAAGAAAAAACACGAGACTGAAACACAAAAGCGAACGAGCGACGCGTCAACACAACGTATTTAATTTGTATATAAAAAAAATCACATTCCGAGCTCTCGAGTCACGTGCAAACATGTCTAGACTAGTTCCTGTAAGGTTGTATCGCGCGGTCAGCTCCGAGCTTGGGGAGCATCCGCTTTTTCTTTTTATCGGTTATCCTTCGTTGAGTGAACATTGTGATTTGGGTATACGTTCGCCGCATGGCTATAAACCGCACTGTTGCGACGCGTGTGAGCATTTATCGTACACGTCTTCGAGCCTGGACAAATTTCGTTTCCAAACGCCGACGTCAATCACGATGATTGGATCCTCTAAATCGGGCAAAAGTACGTACATTCGCAAATTGTTGAGATTTAGAAGAGATATGAATAACTTGTGACAATAATGTGTACACTAATTTCGCGGAGAAGTTGAAACTTGAGCCCAGAATTGACAGTCGAGCACTCGTTCTTGGGTGCTACAGGGTGTGACAAAGGAAATTTTCTTGACTCTGAACACTGTAAGACATAAAACACACCGGAAAACCGGTGAGCAATAAAATCATGTACGCAACAAATCCACTGGGCGCCATATTTGAGGGCGATGTTTAGAGCGCATGCTCAGAACGAGCTCACATCAACAGCCTGCTAAGACCGGCAATCTTGACAGTGTCGAATGCAAATGAACCGTGCAAGCTCCTTATCAGCTCGCGCTCAGTAGTCGCGCACACAGCTATGGCCGCCAGTGAACACACCTTATATACCCTTTACGAAATTCAGCCAGGCCACTTCGGCAGCTAGTCTCATCTTGTTTGTACATGCTAATGGTGGCCTTTGATATTTGAGAACGGGCGCCTGAGAAATCCAGAAGTTAGTTCAATTTATTGTTGTTCGTCTTATAAGTCTTATAAGCTTCTAGCGCTATGCTTCTGAGGGTGTCATAAAATTCCTTGGAGTTCTCAGCTTTTGCATGCCCCAGGCGGCTGATAACAATCAAATGTAAAGAATTCTATCGAGAGTTTTACTCAACAAAGCGCCTCGAAGCAACACCACCTAGATAAGCAGAAGGCCTCCGCAACGTAGTCAGATCAATCGAGGCTTGAGATTGGGCACGAGTGCTGCGTCAGTGTTCGACCGGAGCACGTGTTCAATCAGCGTGTCGAAGATCCGACTAGGGCCCAATATCCGACTTAGCGCGATTCGACTGTGATGACGTTTTACGAAGGGAGGCGAGGCGATGGGGAGGCTTTCATTATTCTAAGTGGTGTTGCTTAAGGAGAGTGGTAGTTTCTTCACACCATTCAAAATTGAAACAAATAGAGAAAAAGGTGTGCAGCAAAGAGCACCGTTGAATACCGCTTAGAACTGATCCCTGGCGTTAATGACCTGTGAAACGCCGGTTCGTTTTTCACCACACTCAATCAAAGTCGTAGAAAGAAAAGTAAAGAAAAACGAGCCGCGTTCACCCCCTGAACTCGCAGCCAGAGCAAGTGACCACGTGATATGGAGACAATTATATGCCGCCAATGTTTATCATAGCGACGCGCTGGGGTTGGCAAGGCACAGGACACTGTACCTACATGACCCCCTCTTTGTACTGCAGACCTTAACAAAAGTTCTTTTTTTTTTTCGGAAGTTCAGGTGGTCTATTATTCTTGTATATTTCAAAAGTTGAAGGCCTTGTGGGCGCGCCCATCCTACGGTTACATTGTAAGCTTAAGGATGCTCCCGGTTTGGACATAATCACTGTGACCTCTCGAGGTTATTGGGGAAGGTACAAAACTGATATAGAGGTCCCTAAGATCGTGTTACCGAAGATTAAGATATGTCAAATTGAAAGGCTTGAGCCATGCTTCCTTACTTCGCAATATACAAAATGTCAATTCTGCCATTTATTTCATCCATGACAAAAAACATCAACCTCAAAATTTAGGCTACGTCTTGCAGTGAGAGCTCGTTGCTGTCCTAAAAACAAAATTTTGCATTCTAGATTATATTTTGTTTTATACAATGCAGCCAAACATGCACAACAAGGTGCTTTTGATACGTAACACTGAATTGCAGCGTATGTGTTCCTGCCCCGCAAAAATGGGCTATTCTATTTGTACTTCAAAGTACTTTTCTATTTTTCAAACGAGTTTTTGATACCTATCGAGATTTATTTTGATGTGTGTCTTTCGGTGTCAGTATTTTCACTGTTTTTGTCATGTTTGCCACAATTTATATTTCACAAGATTTTCAGGTTATTTCTCTCTAACCCTGGAATAATCTGCAGATAAATTAAAGCAAGCAAGTGAAAAAAATTTGCATTGAACTACCTGTCGGGCCGCCAAGATGGCCTTTGTTAAAGTTCTGTTCCCGACTATAGTCGCAAACAAAGAACTAGAATTCCATCCCTTGAAGTCGAAAGTTGACTGATATTAAAAAGCCTGAATTCTTTAATAAATTTAAGTAAAATTACAGACAAATGTAGAAAAAATCAAAGACATCTACAATGCCCTGTAACGATGAATCAGAGCGCAGCTCTTAAGAAGGAGGAGGGGACGGTACGGAGAGGGTAGGTATGCCCCTCTTCTTCATCCGCACCCTCCTCTCCAGCTCCCCTCCCATTTAGCGGGAAATTCTTCCGAGCGAGGAAATTTTTCCGCCAAATTTAGGGGGAATTTTTTCCGCTAAGTTTAGCAGGGAATTGTTACACTAAATTTAGCAGGGTATTTTTTGGCTAAATTTAGTGGGGAATTTTTCCCGCAAAATTGTGCGGGAAAATGTTTCCGCTTAATTTAGCGGGTACATTTTTTTCGTGAAATTTAGCGGGTGAAAATTGTCCGCGTAAATTAGCGAGAAAATTTTTTTGCTAAGTTTAGAGGGAAAATCTACCCATAATGTAACCCGCGGTGACGTCACGAGTGACGTCAGTCGTGACCCTCTTGACGTCGCACGTGATGTCATTTAGGAAAACGCCCCTTAATGCAACGCCCGGTTACGCCGACGGCGACGCCGACGTCGACGCCGTCGAAGACAGAAACAGGCGCCTAAGAGCTGCACTCTAAAAGAAAAAGAAAACGTCGTTTCTACTGCCATTCCGTTAAAAACGAACCGAGTTCACGGTCCAGTTCAATCGGTACAAGGTGGAACAGCGGCGTTCCCTCGTTCCTGTGTTCCTGAGTCCCTCCGTTCCTTGGAACGCGCTTCCGTACAACCATAGCCTCCTCTATCCTCACAAAGCCTGACAGTTCGACGATGGAGCCATAGAGTGCCCGGTCGCAGATTTGGAGCTCGAGGATCTGGTAGTACAGAGCATCAGAGAGCCATATCTCAGAAACCTTGGACGTCAGTGCACAGCTTCTGCAGCGGCGAGGACACGAAACACACTTGTTCGCTCGGGACAAATGTGTTTAGGCGTCTCACCGCAGCGGGGTGCCCGTCACGTGGCTCTCCTCTCCTCCGTTGTCTGCCGCTCCATCTTTTCCATTTTGGCGGCCGCTTCTCGTAGCGATCTGCCAGGCTTTGTCTGTATATAGGAGGCTATGGTACAACACTGGCTGGAGCTGCCAACAAACGTGCAAAGCCATTCTTCAACATGTGCGTCCCACAGGCTCGCACAAAAACGAGTCCATTGAGACGGCACTTTCGTCGAAATTCTCGGGGGAAATTGATTTTAAAACCCACTATTATTGGAAAAAGGAAGCTGCGTTATATTTTGGGTGTATCTTATACAGACCGCAAAAAAAAAACGTAATTTTCTAGATATTAAAGACTTCCAGTAGAATACATTTGCAAGTATCGTTTACTCTATCCCAGTAGCTCTCATTGGCAGCATTTCAAGTTTTTTTATCTGTTTTACTTTTGAACTTGGAAAGCATGAAAGTAATGTAAACAACATCCGTGCAGACACAGGGTTTCTCCCTCGGTCTCGCACGATCAACAACTTCCAATCGTTACATTATAATGTACTTTAAATAAATGTTTCCCGAACAACATATCCCGGGTGTTCATTTTTAATTCGAACAGATTTATTTTAAAAAATTCGTAAAAGGTGCACTGATACGGTTTGTGCAGGTGAGTTATAAGGCCAGGGGGACATATTATAGGGGCTAATCGTAACGATCAGTTGGCTAATTCACTAAAATTCGATAATTAACTTTTTAATTAATGAAAACAGACATATGGTTCTAATTATAAACTTGCTCAGCGTTATTGAAAAGCACTAAACAAGTCATTTTCAGAAAGACTTTGAGGGCGTGAGAAGCGTAGTAGTGCACTAAAGTTACCACTCGTAAAGCAGGTACAAAGCTAGCGGTTGCGGTAAGGCGCCCGCGCGATTTTTCCGTCTCTTATCTAGCCCCAGCCTTGTACCTGCTCCACGAGTCGTAACTTTAAGTGCACTACTACGCTTCTCACGCACTCAAAGTCTTTCTGAAAATTACTGATTTAGTGGTTTTCGGTGACGCTGTGCAAGTTTCTAATTGGAACCATATGTCTACTTTCATTAATTGAAAAGTTACGTAACGAATTTTAATTAATCAGCCAACTGATCGTTACGACTAGCCCCCTATAATATGTCCCCCTGGCCTTATAACTCACCTGCACAAACCGTATCAGTGCATCTTTTACGGATTTTTTTAAATAAATCTGTTCGAATTAAAAATGAACACCCGGGATATGTATATATATGTTGCTCGTGAAACATATATTTAAAGTACATTCTAATGTAACGATTGGCAGTTGTAGATCGTGCGAGACCGAGGGAGTAACCCTGTGTCTGCACGGATGTTGTTTACATTACTTTCATGCTTTTCCAAATTCATATATATATATATATATACTCAAAATTGTCAAAAAGGACGTGTTAACGTTTCTTCATTGATTTTTGTTCTAAAATATCAGTGTGCTGTATATTTATTTTCCTCTCCGTAGGAGTTTCCTTTTGACATTTTAAGAAAATGTTTTTCGTTTGTGTCTGCTATGAGATCTCCTGCCAGTGTAAAAGGGAACGCAGACCCAGCAAGCTATTTCTAACAGCTTTTTGTGTAAAAAAACCCTACAGCGCTCCTGAAAAAAATAAAATACAATAAAGCCTTGATTTGTTTTGCTTTTATCTCATTTGATTGACGAATAAGCCCTAAGGAATCTGATTCCTCGACTGTTTTTTTTTTCATATATGTTTTATTACATTTGCAGTTGAACCTACATCGCAACTATCTGCCTGATCATGAGCACGTCCGGACCGGTTCCAGACACCCAAAATGTCGACGGTAACGACATCTGTGTCTACTTCGATCCATTACTCTACCGTGCGGTGGACGACTTTGAACCGCAAGAGGACGACGTGATTCAGGTGATTCATTTCGAAATCAAATATTTTATTTGCACCCGCATCTCCACCAACTCGTTGACAAACACTCCCGCGTTTGCCCTACACCAGGTGTCGGCACCGCGCAAGCGCAGAAACCAGACGCGCGTGAGGAGACGCGTCTGCGCATGCGCGATATCGACAGCAGCGCCACCTCAATGGCGCGGCGTCGGAGAGTTGAGTAGATTCGTAAAGATGCCAGAGCCACGGACAAAAAAAAAAATTCAATTCTCGTTGGTTTCACGAGGTTCGGGCCCGGAGTGCTCTGCAGATGGTGACGGAGACGCAGAAAACCATCCAATTTTCACGCGTAAAGAAGAAAACATTAGCTAGACGGTTTATACAAAGTAATAAATATTAAATCGTACGTGCAGTAATTTACGGTCAAAACTATAATTTTGAAAGTAATATATGTAGTAAATATTGAGAAACGTAGGTAGGTTAACTTGATAATGGAGGGATTACAAACTGGTAATTTCTACAATTGGGAGACACCTATACTTAATTTCAGCTTCCGACCGAGCGCAGCCGAAGGCTGAGGGACGGTTTGCAACTTCGAGAAGAGCATTCCTACGCACCACAAAGTAGTCCGCAAAACTACTTTTTTTTTAAGAACTGTTTTGTGCGTAAACATTACAAAATATTCCAGATGTGTAGTGCTGAGAATCATTTGCAACTAAAAGAATTAAATATCTGACGTATATGTTTTTATTAATATATGTGAATGCATCTGGTTTGGTGAAAACACGACCATCCACTAGCAACACGGCTGCAGCGCTCGTTTTTTCTGTGTGATTTCATTTCCATAATGGACGAATCATATGCTTCGCTGCTTGCTGCTTTCCTCACCGAGTCACCTCAAAACGTTTTCTCGAAAAGGCAAGTTTGGGCGCCAGGAGCGAGAGGTCGTGATGAATGTCTGCGTTCAAATTCGGCAGGAGACTCCGGCCGCGTCGTACCGCGAATGCGTTGTAAACAAGAAAAGCGTCCGGGCCGCTACAATTCATTGATACGCGGCGAAATAAGGGTACCCCTTTACCTGCCGATCAGATTGAACGCCGAGAAGCTGGTGGAAAGGACTGCCCCTTGAGCCCCGGTATATATGCAGACAATACAAGAAAACATCAACGGCCGGGTCATCGGTCACCTTGCAATGTGTATTTACATCTCGAAACTATGCCGAAACGCCGAACAGGTGGAAAGCTCGGACACAGACGCCAGCGGCCAGCTTACGTACTTACATCCCCTGTGACTAAATTTCAGAATGTGAAAGGGCACTTTTTAGACCTGTAGCAGACGATACTGTTGATACACCCGTAGCAGACGAAATACTCGGCAAGCGCGGGCGGCGCGGACGACCCGCGGCGCAGCGGAGGGATACAAAAGTGCAGGCGAGAACGCGTGACCTACTGCTGGCGTGTGATTGGCTCCGGCCACACGTAGCTTTGGCTGCGCTCGGACGGAAGCTGAAACCAAGTATAGCTTCCATTCGTCTCAGCAGCGTGCGCGGATAGTGTTTATCGTTCGGCCTAAATTTAATGTACGCTTTAAAAATCTAATCTCTTAAGGGGAGGAAAAACAATATGACGCAGTCCGGGAGGGGGTGGGGGGGCGCTCATTTATCCAATCGATATAGGAGGTTGATAATTTTGCATTTCGAAAATCATAATTTTTGGGGTCGTAAGTACTAAAAGTTCGCGATAGATTGAGTTACTTTCTTCACTAATAGTATTTTATTAGAATTTGATATCGTCGCAGTAGCCCACACAAGCTGACAATAATTTACTTGATATTTATATATTGCGTGATATATTTGTAATTTAATATGTTCGGGGACCGTGGCATTTTATGTTTGATAGTGCGTTCAAATATTGATGTGTGCGCTGCTGCGGCGGCGCGCGGGAGCAGCGCCGGTCTGTGGGGTGTCGTTCCTTGGAACTATCCGGTGCGCCGGATGCGTCGCAGCCATTTTAAGGGCCGTTCCTGGGAGGAATTTCTCTGCCTTTTTTTTTTTTTTTTTTTTTGCGGTTACGAACAACGTCGGCTCCGCTCCATGGGGCAGTTGATGCGTTCGGATTAAAGCTCTCTCGGCTGCTAAATTACAGTCAGTGAGAAGGCGAGCTGGTGGAAGTTTATCACGATGACTTAATCCGACACTGGCGCAGGAGTAGTAAAAATGTTTTACAATGAATATCATTTCCGCTTAACATGGGAATGAGTGGAGATATCCGAACACGTCGGCCATTTGACGTACCCCAGCTGGTGTACGTGGGCATACTCTTTACTAAACATGCACAGTCCTGGACGATATGAAACAGCCTTGGGGGTATCTAACGGAAAACTGCCGAGGCTATTGTGAGAACGAGGACATATCCTTGGCTGTTCACTTCTGGAGGTTACCGACCACTTGCTCGGCAAACCAGTGCCGAGATAGTAATGTCGGTAAGCGAAAAAAAAAAAAACCTTATCGATATTTATTTTCTTAACTTATGACGCGCCCAAGACTGAATGCTCTACCTGCCGGCGGTAGTTTAAGCCTCGCTTGATTTTGCATTTTGTCGCGGAATGTCTCTACATTCGGTGCTAAAATCAACATCAACCCAGCGACAGGTATTCATGAAAGGGAATACAGGCAATAATCGAACAGCCGCTGAAGCCTCGTTAATAGCGGAGCTTCCTTTTGGTGATAGCGCTTCGGGCCTGCTAAGCCACACACCCGTCTGGAAGTTTTCAAATATTTCACGACTTTACGTTTCTTCATTATTCTTTTATAAGAACAGCGAAACGCATTCCGCAGGTGACCTTTCCCCGATCAGGCACTCACTGGGCACAGCAAATCATCCAGCTCATTGTTCACGGAGGAAAATCAGCGAGCTCGTTCACCGAGTTCACCGAGAGAGCCCCGTTCCTGGAGATGCAGGGGCTCAAGACGACAGGCAAGCCTAGACTACTACGGTCGCACCTTCCAATCGGCAAAGTTCCATTCAGTCCGAGGGGAAAATACGTCTACGTCGCCAGAAATCCGTGGGATTGCTGCGTGTCCTGTTACCACCTGGTCCACGAAGCACCAGCATTCAACTTCTCAACCGGTACTTTCGAAGAGTTCGTGGACGTGTTTCTAGGGGGACAGTTCGGTTTTGGCAACTACTTTGAACACGTTCTCTCGGGTTACAAGCACAAAGACAAGCCAAACGTATTCTTCCTGACGTACGAGGAACTTCAGAAGAACAAGCCTGACGCTGTTTTGAGATTGGCTTACTTCCTAGGAAAAGGCTATGGAAGAATGCTGGAAGAAAATGAAAATGTCTTTAAGGAGGTACTCGACAAGAGTACTGTGAGCTTTATGAAAGGTTTTATGCGGCCCTCTCCCGAAGAGCTCAACCTGGCTCTTGGTAAGACTCCCGCACAATTTGAACGACTGAAAGAGGTTGTCACAATTAAGGCGGATGGGGCCAAAGTGAACATTCTTCGCAAAGGTGAAATGGGTCAGTGGAAAAATTATTTTACGCCAGAAACTTCACGGAAGATGCAAGCTACAATTGACGAGATGAACAAGAAGTACGGTATAATTGACCTATGGAAACAGACTCTGTAATCCGGTTTTTTTTCATAACTGGTTGGTACGTTCAGCAACACCCACCCCCCTTTTCCCCCAAATAAGCATATTAAAAAAAAATGTTGTGAGGGACACATTTATATTCTTTGCACCTGACTCCGTTATAACTCATATTAGGTTAATGCATATGCCTGCACTTAGATCGCTTTAGGCTTAAGATGACATCTGTTTGTTACTTCGGTACATGGTAAAATAAAATAGGGGAACCGTACGCACGGAGTAGTAGAGGGAATACACTAACACACTGTGACACTGGGTCTTGACTTTGTTGTTTCATTTTTTGTCTTTTTATTCCCTTTTTCGACTACAAAAAACGACAGTTTACTGTCACCGCTCTGGCTGAGTATTTCTTCTACATTTCTTTATGTCGTTTTCCGCTTTTTTAATGTTCCTTGTAACCTATACCTAGCCGCTTATCTGGAAAGATGGCGGCAGGTTTTAGGCGGCTAAACAGCGTACCACGTAAAGCACTGTGAATGTGGTAATTGCCATCACCTTGAACTTTACAACACCTATGAAGGAACCTCGGATACAGTAAACCACCATTATACAACCATGAACTGTGGGATCTTGCAACAAATCGCACAGGTACGCGTTGTCAAGATGTATTTATCTCTATGGATTCACTGTAGGGTTGACCCGCAAAGTTTCCGACATCCTTTGCCAAGCAGTGTTGCACGGGGCACGTATACACACATATGGCATTAGTGAAATTGCCGCAGCATTGCACACATTAGTTTGCTTACAACAGAGCTCTTGTGATCGCTTAAGGCGAGTAGTAGTAGAATACGTTTGTTCAAGAGAAACAAAAACCAAGATACCTTCACCAGGGTCATTGTACCTTAAGATGAGAGAACACACTGACACACTGGCGCCGTCTATAGGGAGGTCCTGGAACAGCGTGTCACTAGGGAGGTCCTAGAACAGCGTGTCTGCGGTATTCGAGAGATCAGATGCATACCTACTATCCATGAAAAATGAGGGTTTATGACATTTCAACGGTTTTTATAGCTATTAGGAAAAAACGACGCACAGAAAAATAGCAAATATGCAGACACTGCAAGCTTTCCACGTCAACCCGATAGATAGCGCCAGTGCATTCTCTCGTCGTAAGAGATTTAGAGAGGTTTGAAAGGGGCACTAAAGAAGATTCAGCGATCGTCTGTTCTTGGTCATAACTGATTCTGCAGGCACTAACGTTCTTAAAAATTGTGGGTCGCCTGACAATTCCCGATCAGGCCGAGTTTTACTCGCTCCGAGGAAGTCACACAAGGAGCGCTATGATAGACAAACACTTTATCGATACTTAAGTTGTGCTGCGGGGGCCAAGGCTGCCTTGTGGTCCGGGTCTCCCCTGGGCTCGTTCCGCACCGCCTCTTTCGTTCGTCACGGCCCCTCGAACTCTGTCCACGCGCACCTACCACGAGCGTCCCTTTCCCTTCTTCCTCGCCGCTCACGGGGCCGTCTATCCACGTTCAGCGTGGCTCGTTGTCTCCCACACTCCCCTCCCCTCAAGCCTCAAACTCCGGGGGGGTCCGGAGCATCCGGAGTCCCTGGACCGAGTCACTGGACTCCAAGTCGCCCATCTCCGCCTTGCTGGTGGCGGTGGACGTGCATCAGGTGATTGGTGAACTCCTGGTGGGGGGACTTGATGAGCTCTCGCTCCCGCAACAGGTCCGGGGTCAGGTAGCTGTACGTCTGCTGGATGGCCAGGTAGGTGGTCTCGGCAAAGTTGCCCAGCATGGCCGTCGAGACGCGGGCCGAGGTGTAGCAGACCTCGATGCCCGCCATGTGCAGCAGCTTCTTGGGCACTGGGGCGGACACGATGCTTGTGCCGCGGGGCGCCGGATTAGCCGCATCAGCACGCACCTTGCAGGGTACGGTGTGGCGCTTTCCACTCTTGTTTCCCCAATAGCCGTTATGGACGGGGATGACGCACAGCTAGGCCAGGATGACGGCTTGAAGGATGGCCGTGGCCACCTCTTTGGAGCACTTGGCAGGACTGGCACCTCTTTGGAGCTCTTGGAGCACTGGCCGTTGAAGTCCCCAATGGCCACAAAGGCCTTGAAGCGGGTGCGCTGGCCGGCACGCGTCTGCTTCTGCACCGGCATAATCTTCAGCACCTCGTCCTTCAGCGTATCCCTGGGACTCTCCGGTCCTCCGCGTCTCCGCCGCCCTGCCTTCGTTGACGTGGTCGACGTCGGGAAGGCTCACCCCGTCTCTGCCAACCAGGTTGACCACCCTGACGGTTGGTTCGTCTTGCTCCTTGCTAACCGGGTTGACCACCCTGTTGATTGGTCTGGCCGTTTCCCCTCCAACCGGGTTGACCACCCTGTCGGCTTGTCTGGCCATTCTCTTGCCGAACGGGTTGGCCACCCGGTGCGTTGGGCTGACTGGTCTTCTGCCGGAAGGGTTGACCACCCTGGGAGTTGGGCCGGCTGGCTCTGCCGGTATCCCCGGAAGTGGAAGGTCGCCTTCCCGGATGGCGCCGCCCATTCTGGTTCCTCCGGGGGGCATTTCTGGACAGAACAAGCTCTATTAACATCTTGCAAAGAATAGATCAAGTTCTAGGCCGCAGATTATAGCGCCGCGCAGAGCACCTGTCGGATCTCTCACCGACGGGTTCGCGCATTGTTCGGCTACCTCGCTTAGGCCGCGTTGCCGGTCGCGCGCAAGAGTCGCGCGGAACGGAGGATTCCTCGTTTTGTTCTCGTTCATCGTCATCCCGATCACGAAGATGGTACTTTTTCAGGTCTGTGATGTGGACCGGGCAAGACTCCTCGCTCGCATTTTCCTGAGCGAGCCTGTAGGTAAGACGTGACAGTCGTGCCTTTACCACGTAGGGCCCTTCCCACTTCGAAGCAAGTGAGGCTGCGAATCCGCTCGCTGCATTGCTCAAAGGATGGGTTCTCCTGAGGACCAAGTCCCCCACCTTGTACTCCAGGTGACGATGAGTCTTATCGTACTGGGCCGCCTGTTCGATCCTTGCTGCAACGAGGTTCTCTCTGGCGTCGTGCAACGCATTCGAAAGGCGAACTTTCAACTCCGCCGCGTATTTAGAGAGTGGGCGTTCTGTCGAACCTTGGTTATTTCGTAACCCGTTCTCCAGCGGAGACGATAGCTCCTTACCCAAGTTTAGAAGCGCAGGCGTTAACCCAGTCGATCTGTTCACGGTCGTCCAGATTGCAAAACCCATCTCGACAATGTGTTCGTCCCAGTCCCTGTGTCTCTCCGTTAGTGTGATCAGCATGCTCTTCAAGTTTCGGTTCACTCTCTCAGTGATATTAGCCCGAGGATGGTATGGTGTCGTCCTTTTGTGCTTTATGTTTAGCGCCAAGCAGGAGTCAGTGAACACTCTGCTGGTAAAATAGCTAGCATTATCGCTGATGAGACACGTGGGTGTACCGAAGCGCATGAAAGTTTCCAACAACTTCTCCCAGATGCGCTCCGAGACCAGCTTCCTCAGCGGGTGTAACTCCACCCATTTTGAGAAATGATCGGTTATTACCAATAAATACTGGTTCCCACGGGGACTTTTCGGAAGTGGGCCGATGATGTCGCAAGCAACCATCTCCCACGGGTAGTGACTCACTACAGGCTGCATCAGGCCTGGGGGCTTTCCCCCTCGCGGCTTCGCTCTCTGGCAGGCTGGGCAGCTACGGGCGTATCGGAGTGTGTCCTGTCTCATCCCCGGCCAGGTCGCGACGCGACATAACTTTTGAAAAGTCTTGCTGCCGCTGCCATGACCAGCCAAAGCCGAGTCGTGGAAGTATCCGATAAACCGCCTCCGTAGCCTCCTAGGAATCACCACCCTGAACGGAGAGTCGTTCCCCTCCTCGTCGTCGATTGTTGGAATGTAGCGGAGCAATAAGCCGTCCTGACCCAGCAGGTATGAATCAATACGTTCGTTAAATTGACCGCCAGCGTTCCCGGTGTTGCTTGCCATTTCCGCAATTTTCCCCAACACCCGCTGACAAAAACCATCTGCCTTTTGGGCCTCGACAAGCTCTTCCTTGCTCACCACTTCACCCCAAGCCACGATCCTCTGTTCCCTCGTGCGGCCTCCTAACACTGCGACGAGCTCCTGTTGCATCGATCCCTTCCCGCTGTCTTGCTTATGAGCGGCCGCGCGGGAAGCTTGTCTCTCGCAATCCCCTGGTTGCGTCTCCTCCTTCCAACCACTATCATGGGGCGCCCGAGAAAGTGCGTCTGCAACCTTGTTGGTGGAGCCCTTTCGGTACTCGACAGTATAGGGGTATCGCTGCAAAGTGAGTGCCCACCGAGCTAACCTCCCCGCCGGCTCTTTCAACCTTTGAATCCAGGTGAGAGCGGCGCGGTCTGTCTCACTGACGAAGGTGGTCCCGTCTAAATACAGGTCCAATTTCTTTAGAGCAAACATGACGGCCAGGCCCTCCTTCTCCGTCACGCTGTAATTGCGTTCTGGCGGTGTAAGAGTTCGGCTGGCGAATGCCACCGGGCGCAGCTGTCCGTCATGTTCTTGCAATAACACCGCACCGACCCCGTAGTCGCTCGCGTCTGTCTGTACCACGAACGGACGGTTAAGGTCTGGCAGGCACAGGCTGGCCGTGGCTGCTATCACCTTCGTGAGGGAAGAGAAAGCTACCTCTTGTTCTTCGCCCCAGGCCCATCTCGAGCCTTTGTGGAGCAGCAGGTTCAGTGGCCGTGTGAGTCCAGCGCACCCTGGAATGAACTGCCAATAAAAACCGACCATTCCAAGGAACCTTTGAAGGCTCTTCGCGTCGCGCGGTGGTGGGTAATCAAAAATGGCCCTCAACTTATCCTCGTTCGGCCTCAAGGTACCATCATCTACGACGAAACCCAAGAGGTTGACCCTTGAGGCTGCGAGCTGGACCTTCTTTGGATTAATCGTTAACCCCGCTTTCCTCATTCTGCTTAAGATAATCTCAAGGTGTGCTAGGTGCTCCTCGAATGACTTTGAAAATACGACGACATCATTCATGTATGCCATGGCAAAGTTGAACTTCGCGTCCCTCAGCACGATCTCCATAAGCCGTTGGAAACTCGATGGCGAGTTAGACAATCCGAACGGAAGGCGGAT